ATGGACTTTTGTGGTCTCCAGAGAACTCTGGAATTCCAGACAAGCCTCTACAGTGAAAAGCTATAGGAGTTTTCCCTCAGCTATAGGAGGGGGCCTAATGCTGCAAAGTCAGATTCTGGCTTTAAGATGAAAGAGTTTTTCCCTCACATGTTGGGAATCACTAAAACAAAAGCATTGGAGAGAATTTAAAACATACAAACAAACAAAAGCCCTGACCTATTGGAATCTGTGGTCTGGCCTTGAGCTGCCTGGTAGGGACTCATCTCAGTGGGACCTGGCTTTGCACCTCCAGCCACACTGGCTGCCTCAGTTCCTTAAGCCCCCTTGCTCCTGCCCACCACCAAGTCTGTGCCTGCATGCTTGCTCCAGCCAACCCACTTCCCACTGTCTTTGCTCACCCACTCCCTTTGCCCTCTAACTTCTCCCTCCACCCTCTCCCTTTGCCTGGCTAACTTCTCTAGCCCTTCACATCTCAGTTTAAACTTCGCTTTCTCTACTCACCTTCCCTGATCTTTCTGAGCAGGTAGCCCTCTATTAGGCCCTCCAAGCACTTCCATTTACCACTTTGCATTTCTTCATGGGTTTTCTGGATCAATGTCTTCCTTCCCCACCCAACTGTAAGCTCCATGATGGCAGAGACTTGTCCTCTTGAACTCCCCATTACTCCTCCAGCACCACCCAATGCAGTCCGTTATACAGCAGGTATTTAATAAATAGTTGATGATTTGTTTAATGAGTAAATGAATGAACATGTGGACTTCATTCACTTAGTGTCCCTTGGATTTGTCTTTCTCCAAACAATTAACAGTAGTTGGAAAGAAGTCTTCTGGTAAAGAATGTCACTCTGTAGTTTTAACTCAATAGATCACGAGGGATCAACAAAATAAAGGTACAGTCAGTGACCAAAATCATCCCTATGGCTTTAGGAAAAGAGGGGAAACCTAGCATCAGTGGTCCCTATCAGTGTGCTATACGGCATACCCCATGCTTTTTATGTAGGACCATTCCCAGAACTGGTTACAGTGGATTTATTTAAGAAAATGAAATTCACCCCAGTCTGTAGATGGACCCCCAGTCTCTAGATGTTTTCATGGTACCATGATCTTATAAAAAAATCAGCTCTCTGAGATCTAAGTGGGATGTCGGTAAATAAATATCACTAAAGTTTGAATTTTTAATATATATTTTATATTTCATTAAAATTGCCTTTTAAAACATGAAGTCTGGTGTCTTGGCAATTCTAAGACCATTTGCCAAAATCATTCTGTATTGGAGCTTAGAGTATGAAGTGTCCTGTAGCATTTAGCGTTAATGAGCAATAACATGAAGGATAAAAGTTTAGAAAGTGGCAGAAAACTTGGACCCACTTAGAAGACAGCCAGAAAAATCAATAAAGGATTATCAACTATTTTTAGAAAAGATGATTCTAAATTATTTTAAATACCTTTTTAAAAACTGGATCACACCTTGAAATGATTTTCTCCCCTACTTCATTTTGTTTGTTTGTTTGTTTGTTTTGGCAATGAGGTGAGAAAAGACAGGAAGGACAGCTGGAAGTGCTTATAGCATTAAAAGGCAGACTAGCTGATGTCTTTTCTTGAACTAAGTTGGAAGTAATCAACTATTTTTCACTTTAAGAAAATCACAAATTTATAGAATCCACCACAAGGACATTTGATATCTTGGAGACTTGTAGTACTGGTATGCTGAAGTCTGAAGTTTATTCTAGAAATCTTTGGCACTTGGAAAGGGTTCAGGTAGCTTAAAAAAGTATGTTCTTCTGGTCTTAAAGTCAAGGTTATGTTAATGAACAAATATTTAAAGGTTAACTGTGAATGGGACCTGACTGAGTCTAGGTGCTTAGAGTTTGTTTCCCCTAAATTTTGTATTATGATTAGTAAATATTATAAATTCTTTTTAAGAGAAACTTATGATGAAGGGCAAAAACATTCTATAGTCCTTTTGTCTCAGTTAACCTCTTAGGGGAAAGTTTTAGCTTTTCACACTAGAAGTTTACTGACATTGCTGCCTAATAATGCCTTACAAGGAACTGAATTGCCTCTAGAGGTAAAGTTAGACCCAGTGCTGGGAAGGGTCAGATATTGCCACCTCAGGTAAGAGACCCAGATGCCCTATAAAGTGGATTCAGAAAGAATTTTGTTCGGTGGTAATCACTTCGTTTGTGACCTTAGCCTGGGAGCTATAAAGAATGGCCAGTTTGAATACATTTTATTTCTTTTTGTTGTCTGGTTGCTGTTGCTAGAACTTCTAGCACTATGTTGAACAACAGTGGCAAGAGTGGGCATCCTTGTCGTGTTCCTGATCTCAAAGGGAAGGCTGCCAGCTTTTCCCCATTGAGGATGATATTTGCTATGGGTTTTTCATAGACAGATTTTATTAAGTTGATGAATGTTTCCTCTATCCTGATACTTTGAAGAGTTTTAATCAGGAAGTGATGCTGTATTTCGTCAAATGCTTTTTCTGCATCAATTGAGAGGACTATGTGGTTCTTCTCTCTTCTCTTATTGATTTGTTCTATCACATTGATTGATTTGCGGATGTTGAACCACCCTTGCATCCTGGGGATAAATCCCACCTGGTCATGGTAGATAATCTTTTTAATGTACTGTTGGATCCTGTTAGCTAGGATCTTGTTGAGAATCTTGGCTTCCATATTCATCAGGGATATTGGTCTGAAATTCTCCTTTTTGATGGGGCTTTGCCTGGTTTAGGGATCAGGGTAATGCTGACTTCATAAGGAATAACATGGAGGACATTAGGAGAAGGGAAGGAAAAGTGAATTGGGGGAAATCGGAGGGGGAGACAAACCATGAGAGACTGTGGACTCTGAGAAACAAACTGAGAGTTTTGGAGGGGAGGGAGGTGGGGCTTGGGTGAGCCTGGTGGTGGGTATTAAGGAGGGCACATGTTACATGGAGCACTGGGTGTGGTGCATAAACAATGAATCTTGGAACACTGGAAAAAAAAAAAAAAAAGAATGGCCAGAAAGCCCCTGGCCTTTGCAATAGTATGCTAATCTCTGAACAGCACAGGAGGGGAGGGCTCATTGCCCCCACATGTCAGTGCATGTAATAGGCACTCCCACAGGAGGAATGGGAGTGCAGCAGGTTCTGGAAGTAAAGTGCAGGTCCTCTCTTCTTGTGTAAACTATCAGTAATGATCCCTCTACTGATAACAAGGTGGCTAGCAGCTTAAACCTCAGAGTAAACTTAGAAATCAGCTGATCCAACTCACTTAGATTTTAGAGTAAAAACAAGCCCCAGATTATGTCAAAGACTCTCCCCAACATATTTCTGCATGTTTAAATGTCCATGTGGGACACGATAGCACTCCATGGATGGGAAGACTTGAGTGGGTAAGGACTAACAATAGTACCCAGTGTGCATGTGTTCTGCTGCCTGACTGGAAGACCTCTCGGCCCCGTAGACAATGGCAGCTGCCCTCCTGAAAGTGGCGGTCTAACCCGAGTTTCCTTTGAACTCTCATGAGCAAAGCATTTGCAAGTGGGAGTTCAGTGTTGGGGCCCAAAGGAACCAGATATGGGGCCAGATTGCCATGGAAAAGAAAGGCTAACCCAACAGAACGAACAGTGTTGGCAGTGAGCGTGCCTTTTCTTCATTATGCTAATTAAATCCTAAGTGGGAGAATTTCTAGGAATAATGTGTCTGTAGATGAGAAGAACTTCTTAGCCCCTGATGCTGTGCTTTAGAGGGTCCATCTTGCTGCGTGGCTGCTGGTAGTGTTACACTGCACACTCATTTCACTGTATGGGCTCTTCATCTCCTGTATTTTATGTGAAACAACTTTTACAGGGAAAAGGATAGGGAGATGCAGGGACAGTATGGGAAGCCGTCAGTGGAAAATCCGCTGTGTTCCTTCTTCTAAGTCACATGCAAAGTCCCAGGAGAATAGCTTCCTTCCAGAGCTCACTTTAACAGTCTACACTGAATATGACATGCCCAGCCTGCATAGACAGGAATCCAGCTCCCTTGCTTTCCTGCTTCCAGCTGGAAGGAGGAATGTGGTGCCCCCATCCCCAAAGCCTCCCTTAGGGAGTCCTCAGCATTCATCAGTCAGCTCCTAGCTCAGGGACCCCACTGACATCTACAGCACTTCTGTTCAAAATAGAAAAAGGCCACTCTGGGCTGCAGGTCTGAGCCTTATTTTTTATTTTCTTCCTTGTTAGGCAAACATAACACCTCCAACTCCCTGTGCAAATGATTGGCCCCACTTAACTCTCCATTTTTGCAGCTCCAACATAAATACCAACAGAAAAGATCTCATCATTCCATACTACAGGGCCCTTTCATGGCTGAGAAGACCTTCCACTTTCACAGTGGTGAGCAGGGCTAATAGGAGCAGGCTCATTGTGCACAGAGAAGACCCCTTTCTTCATGCATAATCCCAAACTGACTGGGGACAGCTGCGCTCAGGTGACCTACATGTAGTTCTCAGTGCTAGGGCATGAATCAGGGCCCCTTCCAACTCTTCTTCCAGCCTCCCAGCACTTGAGGCTTCTCAGTCCTTCCCACCCCATCCACCCTGCCCCCTGCCCTGCACACGGTCAAATATACACATGCGTGGATGTCCCCTGCTCCGAGCAGATCTAGATCTCAAGGTAGAATCACTGTGCCTTTTCCCCCTTACTCTGCGGAACTTGTCTTTGTTTTCTGCCTACAAATCTCCTTTTGAAGAAAGGGATCTTTTACAGCAGATCTGTCTGGTTGGAATGATGCTTCAGTGTAGACTATCAAAGTTAATAGCTTTATATTTATGCGCCCCAAACACAGAAAGACTTGAATTTTTCCCACTAAAATAGATGTTAAGAATTTGTAGTTCATACTTTGGTTTCGGGGGAAAAAATTGATTACAAAACTATTTCTGTACTTTGTTAATTAATTTCTTACCTGTTGCTTATTTTCGGGATGTAAATTTTAAATTTAAAGTCGGATTTAACACAATATTCATTCTTTCTGCAGCACCTGAAATTCTTAGAGGCTGCGCCTATGGACCTGAGGTGGACATGTGGTCTGTAGGAATAATCACCTACATCTTGTAAGTGAAGAAAAGCAATCTCTATGGGTACTATTTGCCTTTGCTGTAATATTTCTTAGGTACTTAGAGGCCTCATAAAAAGCAAGATTACTTTAGACTTTTGTGATTTTCTACAACATACTAAACGTAGTTAGTGGTAGACTTTTCTGAAAACAAGCATCGCATTTTCTTCTCTGATTTTCCTGGGGCCAGACTGTCTGTCCACGACTTTTCTGCGCCTCATTCTGCAGTGCAATGTATAGCAGATTTGGGGAACAATTCCCTATTTGATGTTAAGAACAAATGGGAAACTCAGGTCCATATTAAACTTGCCCTTGTTTTACTTATTTATGTCTCATCAAAATACAGTATGAATCCTTTTTAAAGGGCAAATGGCTCTTTAATCTCCTAAGCAATTCCAGACAGGGACATTTCTTGTCAGCAGTGTTTTTAATGCAGTTTGGCTATCAGTTTTGTTTTCTGTCTCTGTTAGGTCCTCAAGGACCTTGAGTTTAATACCCTAAACTCAGAGAAGCCTTTTCTCTGGTAAAAACCACACACACGCACACACACACACGCGCACACACACACACACACACACACACACACACACACCCAAATAACTAAATCTCTCATTTTCTGGTTTCCCAAACTCCATTCCTGAGCTTCCGTCTACTAATAAAAAAGGGGTTTCAGGCAGTTTGCCAAGGAGATGGTAGAATTGCAGAGGAGCATGAAGGAAAGCAAGGAGTGAGGAGTGTCTGAGAAGACTGCTGAAGAGCAGCCACAGAAGCAAGATATCCATGAGTTCCAGAGTTTAATTCAAAACAAGTAGCTTTGGCTGTCATTTGGAGGACACTGCACAGTTGCCTGTTGGAACCTGTAACATTCAGATCTACAAAGAGATTTTATAGGGTATAAAAGAAAGTGTATTAATCGGGCAGGCTGCCGTAAGAAACTACCGCAGGCTGGGTGGCTTCAACAACAGGCTTGTATTCGTCACAGTTCCAGGGGCTGGAAGTCTGAGGTCAGGGCGCCAGGAGGTCTAGTCCTGGGGAGAGCTCTCTTCCTGGCTTGCAGACATCTGCCTTTCTTACTCTTTCCCCACATGGCAGAGAAAAAAAAAAAGTGAGCTCTTTGGCATCTCTTCTTTTAAGGACATTAATCCCATCATAAAGCTGGCCCCCACCTCACGACCACATCAACCTTAGTTACCTCCCAAAGGCTTCATCTCCAAATAGCATCAGGTGAGGACTTCTCATCATAGGAATTTTAGGGAGACACAATTCAGTCCATAACAGAAAGAGGTTTTGGATTTTTGTTTGTTTGTTTGTTTGTTTAATTTAATAGTGATCTTAGAAAGTGCAGTATCTAGGTAATAAGAACTAGAAGGAAGGTAACTAGGGTACCCTCAAACAAATTAGTAAACTCTGAGTTTACCTGGGTATGTTCAGTCATCTGTAGCCAAGACAAAAAGGTTTAACAAGCAACCCAGTAAATAGCCATCTGCTATGATGTAATGTCAAAAGATAGATTCAGTATTGAATTCCTTGTGGATCCAAAATATATATACTAAAGCTTGAAAAGCATTTGGAGAGGTAGACAACCATGTTTTTTCTTATGAAAGGGCAAAACTGTTAGGTAATATATTTGCCATATTAAGTGCTTAATTCATTAAAATGAATTCCTGAGGCCACACCATGGAATTCCTTCAGCTTACATCTGAGATCACTTTTATTCTGGGAAGAAAATGTTGGCTCCTGAGTTAGGTAGGTGACATATCATACTTAATAACGTTAAATGAAAAATTGCACTATGCAAATAACAAATCAGATTTGCCCCTAAAATGTTATTGTGCCCAACCAGTTGCAATTTCATGCTGAAATGTGATGGAGGATGGGGGGTGAAGCATTAAGGATGTACAAGAACTTAGAGAGACGGAGAAATGACATCACATTCACCCTGAGAACCTGAAATATGGAATGAATAAAATTCTATGACATGGTCACTGACCAGGGAAAATGAAGAGAAAAAAATGTGATTGTTGGAGAAACATCTTATCATAGCCCTGAAAATAATTTTAAAAGTCTTTCAAGGTCCTGGGGCTCCTGGTGGCTCAGCTGGTTAAGCATCTGACTCTTGATCTCAGCCGAGGTCTTGATCTCTGGTCGTGAGTTCAGGGCTCACGCTGGGCTCCATGCTGGATAGGGAGCCTACTTTAAAAAAAAAAAAAAAAAAAAAAAAAAAAAAAAAGTCAAGGTCCTTTCTCCTGGTTCACATAAGGTCTTTAAGTTAATAGTTGTTGGTTCAAAGTCCACAGTGGTAGCTCTCAAATGAAAATATATTATCAGTGTTGCTTACAACTAATGTCCTTTAGTGTGGCCTCACTTCTGTCAGCTCCTAAGCCCAGGGTTGTTTTCTCTAATCTGTAGTTCATTAACAACTGATGAAGTCCACCTGGCAAGGTTCACTGGGACACTTCTCCAAGATCGTGCCATTGGACCTATATATCTCCTTTATTATTATTAAAAGTTCCATACGGCTCTTTTGTGCTATGACCTTGCTATTTCTACATATGACAATAGACTGGGAATGAAAGCCATTTTGTTGTTTCTCACAGAAATTCTGACCCCTCTACCTTTTACACCTAAACCCTTGGTACCTACAGACAAAAGCAACTACTACAATGCTCAGGTCAGAGTCGGAATCAGTAACATCAAAGATTCAAACTCTCTCTTTCAGCTTTCAACACCACAGTTCTGCCCAGTGGCTTAAAGTTCCCCTTATTATACATTCACTCTTCAGGCCTGTATGATCCTACTATCCTCCTAAACTATCATTGTCTTTATTCAAATATTTCCATGTCTGAAGGCTTTTTCCATGGTGTATATGTGTGTGTGTTGCTCTGTGTCACATTACTTCTATTTTTGGCATTTCAGGCTGACATGATATGAGCTTCTTACTTCCATCACAGTGCACACATCCACAGGCATGTTTGAGAAGTGAGAACGGCATCTGAGTACCTTCTGAACTGTCATGTTTCTTTCTAGATTTCCAGAAGGCGAAACATAAGAATTTCTTAAACTAAGCCTGGAACATTGGCTAATTCCTCCACGACTAACTAAGAATAAGCTATACTTTTCTAGTGTTGTGGATGGCACAGGAATGGCCAAGTAAGGCTGAGCTACCTCCTTGTCGAGGTGTGGACATGGGCTCCCTTCTATCCTTATGTGGCAGCAGGATTCTCTGTGTAGACTGCTGCAGTGGGACAGGAGGACTCACTAGTCTGAGACTCAGCACTGCTAAACCCTGTCTTTTCCTGGCGGGCTCCGGAATATTTAAAAAAGACAAGGACTCTCCCAACAGGACGTTCCCCGAGCAAAGGATGTAAGAAAATGCTTCTGTCTAGAAACCCACTACATTAGAATACATTCAAACATTTCATGCTCTGCTCCAACCTGACCAGCTTGAAGGAAGAATTTGAGAGAATGTTTTTTTTTTTTTCGTGTTCATTCTTTTCCCCCCATTTTTTGTCCAGTACAACACATGCCCTGGTAGGTATTTCTTTTTTATGGTCTCCTTTTGATCCCTAGTGATTTCAGAACCTGTATGTACCTGTCTGTAAACAGTGGAGGCTTTGGTGGGCCCTGAACAGCAACTCACTTCTCCTCTCTCCTCTCTCAACTAAAGATGATTCTTTAGTTCTCTTCTCCCACTTTCCCCATTCATTTGTAGGCTGACACTCTACTAGAAAATGAAGGTGAACGTGGGTCTTTAAGACAGAAGTGGGGGTCTCACATGAGGCTGCACTGACCCTAGCTACTCATCTCTGTTGGCTGTGTGTAATCACTGTGTCAAGTTTTAAAAGACCATTTCCTGACAACAGTCTAACTTCCTGTCTTTGTTCACTCTGAAATTCAAACTGGAGTGGGATGGAAATCTAATATTTGACTCATTTCTGTGGAGGAGTTCAGTGAATAGGGCTGAATAAAAATGACTGAAAAATCTTTTCTATCTACCTCTTAATCTCTTTACTCTCAAAAACTCCTCTAATTTTTGGGTGCCTGGGTCGCTCAGTCAGTTAAGTGTCTGCTTTGGCTCAGGTCATGACCCTGGGGTCCTGGGATGGAGCCCCACGTCCTCAGGCTCCCTGCTCAGTGGGGAGCCTGCTTCTCTCTCTCACTCTGCCCCTTCCCTTGTTCATGCTGTCTCTCTCACAAAAATCAATCAATCAATCAATCAATCAACCCTTTAAAATCTCAAAAAGAAAATCCTGATTCTTCCACTTCCTAATAAATTGGAACTCTAGTCAATCTGTCTTCTCAATTCCTGGTTAAAAAAATTCCACAGCAAGTCATTAGTACAGTGCCTGTAATAATGTTAGCTATTATCTTTATTATTGTTTTGTGTCATAATTATTGATATTATTATAAACTCTTTGTAGAAATTATTTTTTAATTTAATTTTTTTCAGTGTTCCAAGGTTCATTGTTTATGCACCACACCCAGTGCTCCATGCAATACATGCCCTCCTTAATACCCACCACCTGGCTCTCCCAACCCCCAACCCCCTCCCCTCCAAAAACTTCAGTTTGTTTCTCAAAGTCCATAGTCTCTCATGGTTTGTTTCCCCCTCCAATTTCCCCCAACTCACTTCTCCTCTACTTCACCCAATGTCCTCCTTTGTAGAAATTCTTAATCAGTTTGGTATCTGTTCTTACTTCCAGAGGACATGATTGTGTATTTATACAGTCAAAAGTGATTTATAACAAGGCAGTTACATACTTGTACTATGTAGACTTGCAATCATAACAGAAAGCTTGGAAAGGGCAGTCCGGAATTTCTGCAAAAATTTGATGAAATATATTTAGGCTTCTAAAGACATTTTATTCTCTATCTTTTGTCCTTCTAGACTTTGTGGATTTGAACCATTCTATGATGAAAGAGGTGATCAGTTCATGTTCAGGAGAATTCTGAATTGTGAATATTACTTTATCTCCCCCTGGTGGGATGAAGTATCTCTAAATGCCAAGGACCTGGTAAGTGAGACCAAAACAAAATGAAGTAAAATCTTCACATTTTTTTTTTAAGATTTTATTTATTTATTTGACACAGAGATCACAAGTAGGAGAGAGGCAGGCAGAGAGAGAGGGGGAAGCAGGCTCCCCGCTGAGCCAGAGAGCCCGATGTGGGGCTCGATCCCAGGACCCTGAGATCATGACCTGAGCCGAAGGCAGAGGCCCAACCCACTGAGCCACCAGGTGCCCCTTCACATTCATTTTTAACTAGTTAATGGGCAGTGTCCTTTTTAAAATTTTCCCCTCTTAATAATTGCATTTTTAATAAAACAATGTACATAATACATTTTTCTTGTAGATAATGAAAAATAGATATGCTTAACTCGTCACTTGCTGAATTATCACAATTAAAAATTACTGCATTGTTAATTAGTGAGATTTTACCACCTAGTCCATGTAAAACCTTGCTTTTGAAGCCAGTTGTACTGGGTAAATTCAGACGTAATATGGAATTCCATTTTAACATGGCTTGCCTAGATTACCTAGATTTGATTATACAAACTTACTGAAATATCCCGATAACAGCACAAGTCCCTTACATGCCTTACTGGCATCATAAACAAGTTACACTCTACTGATAATTTATTTTGTTTGGTTTTTTGTTTGTGTTATTTGGGTCCTTGCTTAAGCTAATATTGAAGTTTATTTGCATAAAGGAAAGACCTGCATTCTGGGGAGATGGCCCACCTGTTCTAAAATAAAGGGTATACTAGCATGAGATGAAAGCATTAGCCATCATTCATCTAGAGAAAAGCCACACAGAAATAGCTAAGAATTGACTTTTGAACCGCAGAAGGCTAGCTCTCCAAGGGATCTTATGAGTTATCTAGTCTTTCCTTCATCTAAAGTTGAGGGTGCTGGGGGCACCTGGGTCACTCAGTCAGTTAAGGTCACTAAGTTGGCTCAGGTCATGATCTCAGGGTTCTGGGATCTAGCGCCACGTCTTCAGGCTCCCTGCTCAGCTTGTGCTATGCTCTCTCGCTCTCTCTCTTAAATAAATAAATGTTAAACAAACAAACAAACAAAAAAACAGACTTGAGGGTCCTGAAACCCAGAGAGGTGAAATGATTGTCCAAAGTCACACAGCTTCCCAGCAGAATGAATGATCCAGGTTTCTAGGATATTTTCTTAGAAAATATCCTAGATGTTTGGAGGGAAAAGGAGAATTCTGAATTCTACTCTTTTCCCTCCAAACATTTCCTCCTTCCCATCCATGTTCTTTCATGGAACAAACCCCTATAGACCATGACTTTGCAGTACAACCAGGCAGAGAGGCAGTGTGTGGAGACATCATTCCAACTCCCCCCTCAAGTCAGGCCCCACACTCCTAAAGACCTCTTGAATCCACCCACTTCCCTCCACTCCACCACCACTGCCCCCGCCAGCCCTGGCCTCTCCTGCGGGACCACAGCCACAACCTCCCCTATGGCCTTCCTACCTCTGTGGCAAGTTTAGGTACACTCTCCACACAGGATCCAGAGGAAGGGCCTAATAAATAAATCAACTCCTGTCACTTTCCTGCTTTGAGACTCTTAGGATAAAATCCAAAATCTGTAATCAGATATACACAGCACCACCTGGTCGGGTTGGGAGTCCACTGCCCTGCCCATGCCGCCCATTTCACAACACTGTCCTCTGGTGCGCTTCACTCCAGGGCACCAGACCAACCCAACCCTCATCAGGATAGCTCAGGGTGTGGACCGCTACTCCTTCCTCTGCTTTGTACTATTCTTTCCTCCTTCCTTCCTCCCTCTCCCTTCCCAACCTCTCTCTCTCTCTCTCTCTCTCTCTCTCTCTCACACACACACACACGCAGACGCACACACACACACACACACACACACACACACACACACCCTCTTGCATGGGTAAGTCTTATTTACAAGCCCTAGTTGCCATGTGACATCCCCCAGGTAGCCTTGTCTGCCCACCTTCAGCAGTCCCTCCTTCCCACAACTGCTTTGTTCCTTCTGTCACATTGTTCTGTTGCCTGCTAGCCTTCTCTTTAATGATGGTTGCAACTTATATTTACTTGTGGAAAGAGCTTCCTTAGCTAGATTTTAAGTTCTGGTAGAGGTCAAGGCATGTGTGCCCAGATCTTAGTACTGTTTGGGCATATAGTACAGACTCAATAATTTTTTTTTTTTTTGAATGAAACAATGAATCAGGAAGTAGACCGCGGATTTTTTAAGGTCTGACACACCTGGATTCAAGGACCCTCTTCCTCATAACCTAAAGGTGTGACCTGGGCCTTGTTATCATCTATTCTCTCTGCTTTAGTTTTATTTTCTTTTTTAAGGTTTTATTTCATTTATCTGACAGAGACAGCAGCACAAGGAACACAAGCAGGGGGAATGGGAGAGGGAGAAGCAGGCTTCTCTCAGAGCAGGGAGCCTGATGCAGGGCTCGATTCCAGGATGCTGGGATCATGATCTGAGCCGAAGACAGAGGCTTAACAACTGAGCCACCCAGGCACCCCTAGTTTTCTGTTCTGGGATGATCCCAGTACCTTTCTCTAGATTGTTGGGAGACTTAGGGGCTATAATGCAGGTTAACTGACTACCACCAACTAACACCCTAACAGTTCTTTATACAGCCTGCCTTCCTTTTCTTTTCATCACCAATAAAAACTAAATGGGTAAGAGGGTTAGCTTTGATATTCCTTCATTCAGCTAAATCCTACCTTTGGGCTAATAAGTTTGTAAAACTTAAACACTAAAGGAATCCTTGAGTACCACTGATGTGTTCTTATCAGCAGCACCCGCATCCATTCTGAAATCACCAGGGGAACAGTGCCCCTGAGTGATGGGGTCAGGTTGTAAGGGGGCTGTAGGATCATGGCAAGGCGTTGGGGTTGAATCTTGGCAAGGTCACTGGGGCTCTCAGACCTTCAGCGAGTTTAACAGTTCAGTGCATTGATCTCTTCAAATGTAAAGATTAACACTGACAGATGGGAATTTGGGGGAACTTACTGACTTTCAGTAAATTCTTTGTATTTTCAGGAGGAGGAGGATGGTAATGATGAGGACGATTAGAAAATGGGAGGGAAAGATCTCATTGTGAATTGTTGTCAAGGATTACTTACCATTTATACGAAATTACTTGGACATGTTTCCCACAGGTGACAGCTATGACTGCAATCAGATTTTTATTTACTGCCGTGTATTCATTTTCCTTAATCACCTGTACCTCCCACCACCTCCTTTCAGATTTTTAGCCTAAGCAGCCTCACATCTCTGTCCTCTACAAATTCTCTCTACCCCAAACACACATTTCTTTGCAACTTTTGTAGAAAAGAAGTAAGAGGAGAACCAGATATCTGTTCTCCATTTGATTTACTGCCTGATTGTATTAGCCTGCATTCAGTTCTTCTTAGCTGAACAGAGTTAGAAAAGACCTCGGGCCTTCCATCCCCCGAAGCCCCCATTTGCCACGTGGGCAGATGAAGGCCAGACGGTGGACTGATCTTGGAGGCACTGCGGTCTAGCGGCCACAAAATGAGCTCTGAGGTAAGACCGATCTTAATTGGAATAGAGCTTCCACCAGTTACAAGCTATGTGGCCTCAGTTGAGGCACAAAATCTTTCTGAACTTCCTTCCATCCCTCATTTATGAATTAGAGCTACTAGTTCCAAGTTGATAAGGTTATGGGAAGAATTACCAAGTTTTTAAAGATTTTCATATGTATGTAAGAATGTATTTACAAAGGAATGAGGTGGAGAAGAGAACATATAAGAAAAAGGCCTAGGAGAATGTTCACGGGCTTTCAATTCATATGTCGGTCTTTGTCCAAAGTCACAAAAGTGGGTAAGAAATGTAACGAGGGCTTGAACATGCCTCCTAACTCTAAGCAGTTTCTGCCTCATTCCATGTCACCCTGTCTGAGCCCAGGGCCAGGGATTATTTTGTTGGTTGATCTTCCTGGCCGTTTATTATCTGCTCATTCTCAGAATGGTCGGCTACGGGTTGAATTTAGTACTTTAAACAAATCATGTCCCTAAACCCCTGACAGCACTTGGCTTATTCCTTCAAAACCTTCAAGATATTAGAATGAATTTTATCATGGAATCATGGGATAAGCATAAAGACTATATTATCCCTTTGTTACTATCTAATCCCCACAGATGGGGCACCTGAGTGGCTCATTCGGTTAAGCGTCTGCCTTTGGCTCAGGTCATGATACCAGAGTCTGGGATCGAGGTCTTCATCGGGCTCCCTGCTCAGCCGGTAGCCTTCTTCTCCCTCTGCCTGCTGCTCTCTCTCTCTTTCTCTCTCTCTCTGACACATAAATAAATAAAATTTAAAAAAAAATCCCAACAGAAAGCATGATGAATGCACGATTCCATCTCCATTGCGATCCATCCAAAGTTCTGAATTCTAAGTGGTGCTAAATGCAGCCTAGAATTATTCAGATGCTGGCTCTCCCTCAAAGACCTTCCAGTCCACAGGCAACCAAGAACCTGTTTCCTTGACCTCCCTTGGAAGTCACCTGCCTGCCTGGCCTCTCAGGTGGCACAAGCCACTGCCTCTCAGACCTCCTCAAACACTGCTCCCTGAAACTCTCCTCACAGTGACCACTGAAAGGCTTTTTTTTTTTTTTTTTTTAATGTATAGTTAGTGGTACTGCTAGGAAAATAGAATAAAACCTAAATGTTCACAGGCTGAGAGGCAAGCCTGGGTCACCATAAGAATCTCCCTAAGAAATCTATGGTTCTTTATCATTTCAGGTCAGAAAACTAATTGTTCTGGATCCTAAGAAACGCCTGACTACCTTCCAAGCTCTCCAGCACCCATGGGTCACAGGTAAAGCTGCCAATTTTGTACACATGGATACTGCTCAAAAGAAGCTCCAAGAATTCAATGCCCGGCGCAAGCTCAAGGTAAGATAGGTTTTGTTTTGCTCTGTCTTGTTTTGTGTTTTTTCTTTGTTACTCTCTTCCTTAGCTTGAACTGTTAAAGATAATTCCACTCTTCTTCATCTAATAATATTATTCATCTCCTGTAGTACCAGGGAAAATCCTGCCTTGAAATCCCAGCAATACTGGTGTAAAGCCACGGACAGTCATGTTATTCTCTCGTAAGAGTTCATTGTTAATAAACGGAAATGCGTTGTAGGTTGAGAATTACTCACCAAATATATAATCACTGCTTCTCATGTAATTAAGACTGTACTGCTTGAACAGCATTGCTCAGGAAACTGATACTCATTTTGAAAGTTGCCTTCTTTCTAAATAAGTGGAAATTGGGAAACTTTTTTAAAAAACTGTATCTTCTAGGGGCTCCTGGGTGGCTCAGTGGGTTAAAGCCTCTGCCTTCGGCTCAGGTCATGATCCCAGGGTCCTGGGATCGAGCCCCACATCGGGCTCTCTGCTCAGTGGGGAGCCTGCTTCGTCCTCTCTCTCTGACTGCCTCTCTGCCTCCTTGTGATTTCTGTCTGTCAAATAAATAAATAAATCTTAAAAAAAAAAACAAAACTGTATCTTCTAATATAAATAAATTCCCATACTTGATGAAATTAAAATACAATTGACCTTTGAACAATGCTGGGGTCAGGGGCACCAATTACTCAACACAGTTGATCTATCTATGTGTATTACTTTTGACTCCCCAAACACCTAATCACTAATAGCCTACTGTTGACTGGAAGCCATTACCAATAGTAGTCAATTAACACATATTTTGGATGTTATATATATTACGTGCTGTATTCTTACAATAACACCTAACTTTTTCTTAATGTTTTGGGTATTTCTAGGCTGCACACTTTGTAAGTTTTTTCAGATTGTTACAGATCTCAAAAAAATGTTTCAGTGTGTCTGTTGAAAAAAATCTGCACATAAGTAGACCCTTGCAGTTCAGACCCATGTTGTTCAAAGGGCATCTGTAATTCACGTGACGTAGATATATAAGATATATCTAAAATATAATTCATATGATATATCCAAAATGTATCTTTTTATAGAATATATATGGAATATATATTAGATGGGTTTCTCTTAATAATGGTGTTTAGGACTTACTATATCTGCAGAGGATTTCAGAGAACAGATGAGGGTCAAAAATAATATTCTATTTAGCCATCACTTACAGGCTGATAAAGACTAAATAAACCTTAAAAGTTGTGTGATCAAACTGCTTTGAAATACCTTGGATTAAATAACCTTGGCGTAACCCAGGACTTCTCAAACAAACTTGACTGTGGAATTCTTTTGTTGTGTAATACTAGTGTTCCATGAAAACACTTTGGGAAACAAAGTCCTAAATATTTGAAAACAAGTGTAAGCTTTCACTTGTCCAGATGATTAAATACAGTACGCCTGAAATTAAAAAGATATTGCTGTTCATTCTTCAGAGGAGTTTTCATTCAACCATCTTGGAATATATTTTGAAAATATAAAACAGATAAAACAAGCTCCCTAAATGCAAAGGTGAGATTGAGCTCTGATTCAAGATTTTAAGTGGAAGTAACACCTGACACTTTTCTGTTTCCCATCAGGCAGCAGTGAAGGCCGTAGTGGCCTCTTCCCGGCTGGGGAGCGCCAGCAGCAGCCACAGCGGCATCCAAGAGAGCCAGAAGGCTAGCCAAGCATCATCTCTGACCCAGGATGGCAGTGAAGATGTTAAAGCTATTTTGGAAGGAGAGGAAGTTCAAGGAGGTGGGGCCCAAGTGGCAACTGAGGGGGCAGAGGCTGAGCTGATGAAGGTACAGGCCATAGGGGAAGTAAAAGATGCTGATAGAAATGCTACCAACATGGTGCCCAAGGCACTAGAGGATAGGATAAAGGTGGCTGACCTGGAAATAGAGGAGGGCCTAGCAGAGGAGAAGCTGAAGACCATGGAGGAAGCAGCAGCCCCCAAAGAGGGGCAAGAAAACCCAGCTCTGGGATTTGGAGCTCAGCAAAATGATGTGGTCCTGCCAGAGTACTGATCTGGTTTCTTCTCAATCTAGAAGTCAAATTCTGGCATCTTACGCATTTTGTCCTTCAGCAAGGAAGGTGTGGAAGCATGATATGCACTATAGTGATTCTGTTTTTTGAGGTGCAAAAAAAAATACATATCTATCAGTTGGTAATCCTAAATTCATGCATGTGACTGCTTTATGAAAAAATAGTGTCTTCTATGGTATGCAACGGATACCTAATGCCGAGGAGTTAAATTTGAAATCACAAGTAAATACAACATAACATTTAAAAACATACATGTTCAGGGACCAGTAGTACACATTGAAGTAACTAGTAAATTGTTATTGCTTTGAAAACCTAGTCATCATATATCCTTTGGATTTCTTCATAAAGCAGTAATTCCTTTCAACTCTCGCTTCACTAATACTAGGTAGTGCTCTAAGATGTGTCCCATTGCATTCACGACATCATACTTTTCAAATGTGTTCAGACTATCCAATGTGTTCAAACTGTTTACAAGGAGATGGTTACAGGCTACAGTTTCATGATACATACAAAAAAAATCCCACTTACAATGGTAAGAGATTGAAGCATACTTAAGGGTCATGAAACAGAATGCACTTAGAGCTTATGTAGAGAATGCTTTCTTATTTTGTCCTTATTTATACATACTATATTATGAATAACCAAAAATGTCCTATCACAAATTCCTGCCATTTTACAATCCCGGAGAAGGTATTTTACAAACTCCTGCTGAGGAATGTATTCCTTCCTTCCCCTGCTAATGGCAGTTTCTTTCTCATGGAGAACACTTAAGGTGGGCTATGGAAATTGAGGGAAGAAGAGGAGCTAAGACCTGAACTTACACTCACAAAGGTTGACTGTTTGTCATTTTGATAAAATTGGATTTACTCATGAGTTTGTACAACTTTAAAGACAGTGATGGTTTTATGGATAAACTCTACAATTACCAAGTTTCAAATATTCAGAAAAATCTACCCCACAGGCTGGTGTCCAGTGTCTGAATAGAGTGAGAATAATATTCCATTATAAGATCATTCAATATAGACTTAACTAGATTAAGGAAACTTTTGTGAAATTCCTTTTTTCCTTCAGTTGATAGTTACCTTATGAACTATCGCTTATGAACTAAAGATATTTCTGAAAATCTGTTTTCTCTTTTTTTCATACTTGGAATAGTATTGCCCAAATTTTACCATGTAATTTTTAGTTTCCATGCCAAGAAATTTAGGACAGTGCAGCATTTTATTTACCTTAAAAAAATGAAAAGAAAGCACTGATTTCAAATCAGACTCATGAGAAACTGTAATTATTAGACCTAATAATAGAATTATTAGACCTAATAATTCAACATGATTTTTTTCAAAGTATTTTTCTTTGATTTTCATATGAACACTTTTCCCCCATAGAAATCACACTTAAATTCCAAGGACTTCTATTTCTAGCTTGAGTTGAAGTGAACATTTTTATCGATTTATGCGTCACAATTTTAAGTTTCCTCAGTTTTAAAAAAGGAATATTCTCAAAGACCAAAATGATGGACAGTAAAAATGACTGTCACAGAAAAATCCTTATCAAAAAAAGATCTTATATTATTTTGGCTCTTCCTCAAAACTGTGAAATTGGAAAACGAAATTAAATCTCCGGTTCCTGGGGGCTACTGGACCTTGGGAAACATTCTGCTTTCCAAGTGCAAAACTTCCTTCTTGAAAGGAGAAAAGGTAGGACTTCTCATCGTCCCTCGTTTAGGGGCCTGGCAGTTGACCAACATGGACAAAGGAAAAAAGCCCTTAAGGGCACATCATCTGGGTTCAGAAGAACATTTTTTGTTTGGATTTATTTTTATTAGCTAGTAGAGAGTACTTATCCTCTTCTGCATTTCTCTCCTTCCCTCTTTATCCTCTCTCGGAATTTCCATGTTAGTAATTGTAAAGGGCTCACTATTTTTAATCTTTAAGAATGCCTTTTTCACTAAGCATTAACATTTCCATGTAAGATCAGTTGCCTGGTGTACTTTTCCTAATGAGACTTAACAGGCATACAGGGTAAGTGTCCCATATATTGGCAAAGGAAAGAAGAGAGGGAAATGGATCTTCTTAGAAGTGGTAATTAGTTGGAAGATCAGTACATACTGCCCCTCCCGGCCCACTGTTCCAAGGGAGGGCAGTTGTTCTGTCATTCCATCGCTCAGGCCTGACTGTGCCTCTGGGCCTCGTGTAGCAGGAGCCATGAAGAAAGACAATCTTGAATTATGTTCCCATTAAAAAAAAAGTCTAATTGGAATCCCAGTGGTTTTTTTCCAAACTTTAAGAGCTCATTTGTCCCACAAACGCATAAATAAGGTAGAAATTAGAATAATATGATTGTAGAAGTTATCTAGAACAAGTACTGTTATTCCAATGTATAATCAATATGAAAACTCAATGAGATATTTTGAATTTTGAATTTTTATACTAAGTTTTCAAAATCAGGAGTACATGTTATACCTTTAGTACATCAAGTGCTCAATAGCCACATGTGACTAGTGGCTAATGTATTGGAACAAAACTGTTCTATAGTACTTCTTAAGCAAGATGACACATGGATTGCCAATGCTTGGATTTGAGCTGCCTCAGTTTCACATGGATGAGCTGGTAGGAGGCCAAAAAGAAAATGGTTCAGAAGTGTCATAGACTGAAATAAGTAAAAACTCTTGGCCACATCTGCTTAATCATGTGCTTCAAAGGGATGTTTCCCAACACGACTTTTAGAAAACAGTACTTTCCTGGGCATTGCAAAATTGTCTGTTGGCTACAATCCCTCGAGTCCTCCTTTGGGCCCTGGAATCTTGACCACCGGCTAGAGTCTCCTGAGTACTGCCATAAAGTCAATAGTATTCTTATGTATGAAAATTTACTGTGAGCAAACCATGGGCCCCCGTTCAGGAGGGACAGCACAAAAAATGTTAATAGGATTTTGTAGGGCTGGACTAAGCTGAGCATCATTTTCTAACAGGCAATCTTTCTACAAATCTACTGAAACATACCAAATTTGCATGATAAAGATTATATGATGAGGAGGAGGATAATATCCCAGTAACCCCCAAAATGGGAATGATCACCGGCTGGCATTTTTTAGATTTCCTTAGAACGATTTAATCAACACTGCCATTATACATGGATTCAGAAGACTTAGAATTTTCTTACATACTGCTATTTTAGAATAATCCTCAAGGTTCTATAGCCATTTTTAGTGGCAAACTTAAAAAAGAAAGGAATAGCTTGCCTTTTACTGTGACCTCAATTACATAGTATTTTAAACACATTTTGTAATTTAGAACGTCTAGCAATCCTTATTTCCAGTTTTACATGCAAGGTAACTGCTGGTGGGTTGCCTACAGACCGAAGATTTAAAGAGAGCCATTTTGTTTCATAATTCAGTTTTTATTCCACAGAAGCATCTGGTTGCATTTCAAATTGGAAAACAGAAGTAAATGCCAGAAAAGGCAAAGAATAAAATTAGTAAACCATTTATTTGGTTTTAGGATTGTTCTTGCAAAGTAAATGAAAAAAGAAAAAAGAAAAAAAGTCAACGAAGTGAATCAGCACTCGGTTTTTCTGGATGAAGGTTGACGCCACATAAAACTGAAATAAATATAATGAGCAGAGTCATTTACATAACTACAATGCCATTATGTAATTTACTTGTCATTGCAGAGTATTCAGTCTGGTTATGTAGGTCTATTTTAGACGGTGCAAAGTTTCCAGACATTTGCCTACATAATAGGATTTGTAATATCCTTGCAATTACTGTCTATTAGGTCATATTCCAATTTCCTTAATGTTCATCATGGATATGTTCCTGATTAGGGTCATTGTTATCATCTGAGCATTTACTGGTTAAATACTGCTTAATGGCTAGACTCTCTGTATGTCATCGGTGTTTTTTAGAAACATGTGCATGCAAACACAATGGTATTATAATATTCATAACTATATGATAAGCAGAAATGTACCCAATAACTTTCTATACATTTTTTTCAAAGTCCTTTTCTTCCCCTGGCACAACTCAGGGTGAGATTCTGGCTCCTTGACAAATAAGGGAAAAAAAGACCACTGGAGAGATACCAGCTACCCACCATGGTTACCAAGTTCAGCATTTTCTCTTTCTACATTCTCATCTACTAAGGGCCAGTTTTTGTCATTATTACTCCTTTCAGATATCACCTGAGTTCAGATGATACAATCTCAGCTCACAAAGCCCAACCATTTATATACTTATCTTGGAGAGCAATAACAAACTTGACTAATTTATGTTGGCTTGATTAAAATTCCGATTTTCATAAATGCTTGTGATATACTCTAGAGGATTTGATTGCATGATTTTAACATCCTTCAAGACTCAGCCTTTTCCCTATCACCTGGCCCAGAGGTCCACCTAGAGCAAGATGGAAGCCTTGAATGAGAGCGGACCATCTGACTCCTTTGCAGGAATCAGACATTACTCAGAAGACTCCAGGTGTCTGACCTGGTGGAGCTTAAATGAGCCAAAAGTGGAAAGAAAGCTCTTCCCATGCCCTGACTGAAAGTGATGCTATTTGAATATTGGTATATTGCCATTATTCAGTAATGAAAAAATGGGACTCCACCAGTCAGCTACCCTTTCCCATATCTTGATTTGCTACCGCTTGTCCCAAATCAATGTTTTGTTCCATCCTTCTGGCTGTCAGGCTGCTCTCTCAGCTTGTGATATCTTCTAAAACCCAGAAGGAAGATCCCAGACTTGCTGGAGAAATGCAGGGCCCTTGGTGGCCCAGAATTTAGTCTGAAACTCTGAACAGCAACGCTAAGGCTACACAATCATGCTTGTTCTTAATAGTTGTTTTCAGCACATTTTGAAGATTGACCTGGAAAATCCATGGATATGGAATGTTTATATCTGTGTAATCTTTGCTATGACCCATTGTTAAAAATGACAGCTATTTAATCTTCAATCAGTTAAAAATAGTATTTCTTTTCCATTTAGGAGATTATTTGGGGGCACTCAAATACAATGGGCTTCACATTAGAATTTTTTAAAGCTGTTTTTTCCCTAAGTGTTCTCACTCTGACAACAATTTGTGGATAAAAATTTACTAGGTTGGTCCTTTCTTTGTCCTTTCCTTGAACCATGTATAGTAGTTCATCTGGTTTGTAAAAGATAAAAATATGACTATAAATTGAAAACTGTCATAACTGCCTCCTGTTAACCTGACCTGTTTTATTGCCTATCATGTAGCAACTCATAGTAACATAGAGTACAAATAGCATATTCATGAGTTATGATTTTGTTTACTTTTTATAATCGAGGTTATTACTTGAGTTATAAGTTCTCAAGGTGTTTCTATTCATACACCCTTAGTCTCAGTATTATTTCATATTTCTCAGTCCTCCCAAAGCCAAAAAAATTATCTAACATGTCCATTTATTAATTAGGTAGGCCCACACAACATAATAGTAGTATTGTATTCTGTATCTGATAGATACTGCTCTATTTCCCTTGAAATTTTAAAATTTCTTGTGAG